TATTTCCCCCATTCTCCATCCCATACCTTGCTTGGAAGCACTGCTCCTGTATCATAAGTAGCAAAACCAGATGTGAGTGCAGGTTGAAATTACTGCTGTTCAAAATCCAGCATCAGGATCTCTGCTTTCATTAACTAATATGTGGGATTATGAAGTGTGGTACCTGAAATCCCAAAATGTGGTTACTTTTCCTGTTTAATTCTGGAGGGTCTGAGGAACAGGTCAGAGCAGCAGTGTGTCATATCTGTACAGCTCCTAAAAACATCAAACAATGTCAACAGACTATCAAGAGTGGGCTAGGTAGAGTCTGCACGGGAAAACAGGAGAGGCTGTGTGTCTTCTGGGAGTCTCTTTCAACTTACGTTTTTATAGTTCTGTGAATAATTCCTTCTGACTTAAATTAAGAAACACTGCACTAAATGGGGCTTGCAAGATCTGACTCTTCTTACTCTATGGAGATTTTACTTGCCACAGTGTAAGACTTGCAAAGAGACTGGCAGCGATAGTTTTCTTCACATTTACAGACAGCCCTCTGTGTAATCATTTTGTGTAGATAAGAAGCCTAAGGATGTTCTAAAGGAAATTAATCACTTAGATACTTTCATGCTATTGAACGTTTTGCATGTGGTGCAACAATGATTTTCCTGTTTCAGTTATCATTTATCATTATACATTTACTGCTTCAGTATCTACCTTCTCACCTCAACTTTCTTCTATGCCATCATCATCTGGGATAAATAGATTTTATTCTGCATTCCCAGAAACCCTTTTGGAGCTGTCTCATTTTGAAAGAGAAACAAGTATATTTTTAACATACATGTGTTCAGCATTACTCTTTTTAATCATAGATTCCTTAGGCTAATAAAAAGTAGTAAAGAGAATACAAACAGCCCAGAAGAAAAACAGAACCCTTCTGAAATCACCAATTGGGAGCTATCCAGACTCAATCGAACTTTGCATAATGTTGGGGCAGGATTTTGGAAAAACAGCATGAAAATTATTTTCTGTATTTTCTCAGACACATTTTATCACTTCAGGGTATTTGTGTTTTTTTTTTTTTAAATTTATTATATTCAAATGTGAGACCTGGAACCTTAATTTTTTTTTTGTGTCTTCCAAATGTACAAGGTACTGCCATAGAATAAATGAAAGATGTTCCACTCCTTGAGCTTTTCCCTTCATTTCAATACCCTTTCTCTATTTCAGATCTCCTTGATCTACTGCCCAGACCAGCTTGGAAACTTCTCTCTTTACTGGTTATTATTTCTTAGTGAACTTGTATTATTTGAAACTAATGTAGAGTGCAGTCAGCCTACAATTACTTATTTTTGCAAACAATGTTGAAGAAACAACATTTAGTGTGGGTCACTAGCAGAAAATCCTAACAGCTTCCAAAATAAGACAGTATCTAGTTTGTTTGGCAAAATTATTTCAAATGAACAGCAACTAAAGTTTTGAAAAAGCATGCTGTTCTGTGTTTGAGGTATTGAAAGCAAGCATGGCAAATGCCCGACAATTGTGAAGAAAAGGCACTGCAAGCAGGAGGTTGGGAGCTGTGGTTTTCAACTTCAGAGGAATCATTTAAATTCTTAATGGCAGGTCCTCAGATAAAGAGAAAACAGCATTCTCTGAAGGGTGGCCAGCTGTTTAGGACTCAATAATCAGGCTTTTATTTGGCCTGCCTTCTGGAGTTGCTTCTATCACAGATAGTGATGCTGGCAAGCAAAATAAAGAGTTTTTATGTCATAGGATGCATTCTTGTAATAATTTCTAAAACAGCCCAACATGATTTTGTTTTGCAAAATGTCTGTTGGGCATATATCTGTCTGGACTAGGCACAAGTGTATTTGTCAAGCATGAAAAACAATTTAGATTTGCATGTGGTTTACACTTCATTATTTCCAGAACTGTCATGGTGTTACTCAGTTATTTCCTTCAAGTATTCAGATATGTTTGAGTAAAAATAATTGAGGAATTAATATGAAACCCAAAGGGCCAACAGAGATGGACAGAGCCTTTTTACATCTTCATGTTTCCCTCTCTGTTTATTGCAGAATAATGTGAATGGAACTGATTCCCTGTTCCCTAGACAGAGGAACTTCAGTTGTACCATAAAGAGGCCACACAGACAGCATGAGCACAGCTCATTCTGGCCTTTAATTGGACTATGGAGTAGGACACGAACCAAAACTGCAGTCATTAGTCTCAATTCAAATTTCTTCTGATTTTTGTGGAAAAGTGACTTGAATGTGGATAGCAGAATTTATCCCTCTTACTCAACTTTATACTTTTTGAGGCCTGTACACCCTTTCTTATTTAATTTGTACACTTTTGAAATACATCTTTTTTGTTTTTCTTGTTCAGAAAGAATTTTCATGGATCAGTTTTCACAGTTGTTTCCATGTTCAGAAAATAAGGTTTATATTTCCAAAAGATCTCCATTGCTTCTAATGATAGTGGGTTTCCTTTCCTTTCCTTTCCTTTCCTTTCCTTTCCTTTCCTTTCCTTTCCTTTCCTTTCCTTTCCTTTCCTTTCCTTTCCTTTCCTTTCCTTTCCTTTTTCCTTGTTCATGTAGACATCCTGGAGACCTAGACTGATTCAGGATGATTTTCGAGGGCTACGCTGCTGTCCATCAATATATTAAACCTAATTTATTTAAGAAATCTCCAAGTGTCTGTGTTATCACCCAAGGTGGAGAAGCAAATACTATGCCCAAGTCCTTTTAAGGTTCGTTCTTTGAGGCAAAGTTTATTACAGATGACAAAGGACATATCAAAATTTGAATAAAGTTTAAACCTTGGGGTAGAGCTTGCTCTTTGGCCTTCAAAATTAGTGGCACACTACTATTCATGTCTGTATGGATGGACTTTCTTCCCCAACAAACTAACATGGACTTGCTCACAGTGTGTATTGGAAAAAGTCCCTGCTCCATGGGATCCTACAGTTGTGTTCAGGAATTGACTGGGAAAGTGTTACTTGGATCAGGCTAAAACTGTGCCAGGAAAAGGGCAATCAATTAAATATACACAGGCAACTGTACATAATTTCTTAAGCCTGTGTCCTGGTCCTGGTTGGTAGTTAGCACCTGGGGCAGTCTCAGGTCACAGTCCCCAGCAGATTTCCCAGACTGTTGGAGGGACAATAATGCAGACCTTCCCCAAAACTCCTTGCGTCTTCTACTTTGGGCACATTACATGGATTATGATAGGCAGAAATCCTTTAAGCATTCCCAAGTTCCTGTACTATTTTACTACAAATGCAGTCTAGCATTTTGAAACAAAACAAGAAATTATTTCACTATTTTGCCATGAATGAACCCGGATGAGTCCTGAAAAGATATCCTCCCTTAACACAAGCTTTAACATAAGTTAAATTTTCAACATCCTTCCAATTCGTCAGCAACATATGTTACCCCTATTCAGTACAGAATAAATGCGAGCAAAAAAGACACTGTTTTTGTTAGCAAACTCAGCTGTCTTAATTCACTCTCTAAGTAATACTCCTGGCATCTTCTCTGATTTTCACTGTAATTTTTAGAGCTATATATAACTTTGTCCTTTGACATTTTTCCTCACTTGACAAGTATTTGTCCCATCTTTTCCTTACACTTTTGAACACCATCTTCTACTAATGTTTAAGGCCCCACGTTATCCACTTTTACACTGCTGTTTTTATGTTTTGTATAAATATTTCTAACCTCTGTTTTGAGAAATTCCCTTTACTTATATTCACTCTTTGCCTGAGAGCACCTCAGAATCAGTGCTCCACCTTCCCAAATCTGGGGAAATGGCATGCCATGGGCAGTGCCAGGCATGACATTGCTGGAGGCAATGGAGGACAGAGCTGTCCTTTGTGTGCCATGGGATAGTCTTTGCTTTCTGCAGGCACTAAACTCATACAGATTGCTTCTAAATGTAGGTTTTGTGCTTCTAGGCTATGCAGTAGTGCCCTCTGACGAAACCCAAAGGACAGGGACACTACTTTGTGCCCCATCTGGGCAGATACCTGTCAGCAGAAAGAGCAAATTGCTCTCACTTCCATTTCTCTGGAGGCCCAGGGTGGGAGGGAGGCAATCAGCATTTCTGAGAATCAAGTTACTTGAACTTAAAAATCTGAATATCAACCTAGTTTCACATGCTATGACTTGAATGTTTGGTTTTACAATATATTTTTTTCTCTATGAAGTCTTATGCTAACTAGGTGTGCTGTAATAAATAATTTAGGATCTTTTTCTGGATTTCATATTCTTTCTCCAGCATTGCAATGTCTGTTCAGATGAAGCAATGATTTTAAAAAAAAACCCCTAAACTAAACCACTTAGTCATCCATATCTCTTGTGTCTCCAAGGATTTTTTCTTTTTTTTTAATAAGCAGATTTAAGTTCCTACTTTTTTAACTTTCAAAAAATATGAGAGAAAAATACTATAGGAAAAAGTTTTAAATTCATATGCCTTTTTAAACTGTAATAAATGGCATGCTGCTGCTGATGATGAATCAAGGCTATCCAGTACATGACACTTCGTTTTGTGTTTTATCTCCTCACAATAAGATCCAGCATTCTTTTTTTACTCTTCATTCACACTAAATTTTTAGTTTGGAAATATCAGATGTTTTAACATCATTTTTAGTCTTTTTTTTCCCATGTCCATTGTTTCAGTTTCATGCTTCTGAGGTAGAAATCCTTCAAGTTGTAATGAAGAATACATATCTTTTTTCTATTCAGTTTTGAGTTCTGATGGTCTCAGATTTAAAGAGTTATACAATTTTTTAGCAGTTCTACCAGCCAGCACAATTAATAGATCATCCCTTGTTCTCAGATATGTTAGGTTTACTCTAACCTTCCATCACTGAGAAGTCAGATTTCTATTTTATTTTCACCCTCTTTATTCACTTTTGATGAAAATCAGGATCATATTATTGTCCTTTCTCATATTTAACAAGCGAACAATGAACAATATTTATCACTCAGCAGAGTCAAAAAAATTTCAATAGATTCTTACCTGTAATTCTGCTTTTCATTTCCTATGTGAAATCTGTCATACTGTGAATATGCCCGGTTTCCTTCCCAGTCCATTAATTCAATTCTTAGAGAATATTGCCTCTGACTTGTTATTGCAAAGATAAATTCATTTCCCAGCCAATGTTCACCTGACGGGCTACCAAAACCCTAGAAAAAAGTTGGCAAAATAACTAGATGTAATTATTGTAATTGGTAGAACCTTTATACAATAATAAAACCATCATTCTATTTTACCTATACATTCTAATTACTGGTCATAGCTTTTTGTGCTCCTGTTTGACTATCTCTAAAATGAGTCTACTAATACATACCATGTAGGAGTGTTGTGCAGTTCAACTGATATTCAAAAGGGTAGTTGAGGCTATCAGTTGAAAATCACTTTCCAATTACAAAATATTAATATTATGATGCTGTATTTGCACATCCTTCAATGGGAATACTGGACATAGTCATATTCATAATACATTTCATATGATGTTAAACCTAGTTATCATTAAGACAATTAAGTCAAGACGGAATTCTGCTACACTATAAAAGCTTAAAAAGAATCTAAATTAGCTTAGATTATACACTGAATTCAAGTTAGCTGTGGATGATAGCTCATGTCTTAATCTCTAAAGAAGAATGGACCATTCCTTTGCTGTTGAGTGTCTGCCACAACTGAAGGAGGGAGGTTTTTAGTTTAAAATCCTCTTCTGTATATAAGACCTGCTGGACAGGACAGTGTCTATGACCGATCCTCAGTGGTAACATTTATTTACTTCATTCTTGGTCCACTAAAGCTCTTACTGGCTAAGACTTTGGCTACGATGAAATTATTTTTTTCTCACCCTGCTGAGGTGAAATAACATATCTATGTATGTTTCGATGCTTTGAAATCTTTAACTTAAAGAGTTAGGATTATTCCTGTAGACTATCCAAAGCACAGGAGAGGGTACTGTAACTTTATTTTCTAAGAATGAAAAACCAGCAGAAGTAGAATATTTAAGGTACCTAACTCTCCTCACGTTGCATATATTCAGATGATCTTATTTCCAGTTAAGCAAACTATACAATTTTCAAACATGGAAAAATAATAATAAAAGAAAAAGTATAACCTGTTTTCAAAATGTATTCCTAGCCCTATATTTTTTTGCATCTTCCAGGTTTTAAAGTTGTTTAAATTTCAGTGAATATTTTACTACATTAAACGTAAGGTTTTATTTATCATAATTAACTTAATTTACTATATATTAAAATTATTTCTTTATAAACTATTAGTTTATAGCTGAGAATTCTTAGCTCCATTTTTGTTCTCTTTAAACAATAAAAATTATGTTAAACCATAATCTTTACTTGTGAAGAACTATTTCAACATGATTATGCTTACTCATATTTCTTAAGGTAGGAAAAACAGAACTGGAAATCTCCCGATTTGCTTACAGTCATGTGCTAAAAGTGTTTTAGAAGACCTTTGTGAAAATTTCCTAATCAAATTAAATGAAAGATTGGGTGATTTTCTTGCCTGTGATACAAATTCACCCTCTCTTACTAAGCTGTGACTGCCAGATATAAGAAAGAAATAAACAATAAAGCAATCCTGGGTTTGGAATAAATTAGACTGTATCCAATCTCAAATATTTTCCTTTATCATTCATTATAGGAAGTTACTTTCCCTCTGCACTCCCCATCATGGTATTTAACAGACAATATTTGGTCTCAGTTTCAGATCATGAATTAAACCATGTGGTCTGCCATTGATTGAGTCAGTGTAATTTTCAAGAATAAGCTTGAACATTTCCAGAAAACACATATTTTTTAAAGGGGGGTAAAATTGAGAGACTCCCTTGGGACTAGAAGTTAGGTAAAGGGAAATGTGTCCGTGAGACACATTGGCAAGAAATCGATCTCCTATATATGACATTTCAGTCACTCCTAATGTGAGATGGAAACACTGAAAGTACAGACCTCTCTCTCTTTTGTTCTTTATTGCATTGCCCTGACTCCAGCCCTGACTGGTTGGGTCTTCTGAGGATGAAATCCTGCCTCCCCAGAGGCCATGTGACAGCTGAATGAAGCTGCAGTGCAGCTAATACTTCACTCAGGCAATGCATAGGTATACCAGCTGAAAACTTCTAAAGAAACTTAACTGTTAAAATTTAGAAGCTTAAAAGTTTATGACTGGATCAAAAAAATATAAAATGGAGGGATCTTTTTGTTTTTCCTACAGGGAATTACATTAGAATGCACTCTACTCAAGAATCAGTTTTGTTTTAACTGCCCTACCTGAGCAGATATTTGGTGCTCACTGATACTAGAGGCTGAGAAGACACGCCACATTTGGCTACGCTGAGCTGAGTACACTAGTTTATGTTTCGAATAAGCATGCCTGCCTTTTGGCTCAGAGACCATCAAGTGATAGCCATGGACAAAGTGTTTAGTCTGTAAGAACTAAAGTCTGTGATGAGTCTCAGAGAAGACTCAAACTGAAATATGGGAGGTTGCTATTAGTTGGCTTTTCCCTTCCTGCACATTATTTCAGTATATCCTCTTTCTCAAGTAGATGATTTCATACGTAAGTTCCTGTAAATAGTGGTTGTAGCTAAGACTGGTGATGTCTTGCTTTGACCACATCAGTCTTCCAGTGTGAGCTCCTGCCCCTCAAGCTTTCCCCTGATGATGCTTCTGCATCTCTCATCTACTGCTTTGATTGCATTCGCATGCATATTTGGCTTCATACACACATCCTAAAATACAAAAGCTTGTTCCTCACCTGCATAAACCCTGCCTACAGCTGACATACCTTTCTGTAGTTTTCACTGTTTTCTATCTGTTCCTTTGATCCTTTCCATCTCCTTGCCTTGTCTCTTTGCCCTGTGACTGTCACACATGGTCTCTCCTGTTCTAGCAATTTTGGCAGTGTCATATCAGAGCAGTCAGTGGTTTGGTTCTGACATCCTCTTTCACCACTGGTCATTGCCACTTGTCTCAGAGGAAAGGAAAATATGCTTTGCAGTGACTACCTAATAGGCAGTTTGCCTCCCTAAAATCCAGAAGGCAGAAGTTGGAGCATAGGTGTTTATATACCAGTCAAAGTACATTTCTTTGCAGTCTACATGGTTTCTTATTCACAGAAGATATATTATTATTATTATCAGCTGTCTCCCTTTAAAAGAAGATTTTCAGGAAATCCTTTCTCCCTTTTTCCCAGTGCTGGCAAGCTGAAGGACTCCCCTTTGAACTGTGGCTCTATTGAATTATATTTGTCTTATCTTATTTAGATTACAGCCTATTCAGGATGTAATACATGTGGCTTTTTTAACATTATGTGTTCCCCTATGTGTTCTATATAAACTCCAGACACCATATATAATTATTCTGAAATAATAATAATTTTTCTTCTTCGCATTTACACTTCCTTTCCCTTTTCACACGTGTTATTACACTAAGATGAAAATCTATCACTAAGTGGTTTGCTCTCCTGACCAGAGGAAATGAAGTTGCAGCAAAAGGGAACAGAAGGAATATAAAAAGGAATATAAAGAATTATGAGGAAAGCCACCATATTAGTTAAAAAAACCTGAATCCTGTTATAAGGACCCCCAATACTTAAGCTGAGATTAGAAATGCCTAGTCTAAGAGTGATTATTTTGTTTCTTGTCAGGAGCAACTTCTTTTTAAACAAACTCCTTGCTCTTATGAAAAGAAAACCAAGGAAGTAAGTGGAATATAAAACATATCTCTGAAGCAAGGAATGTTCCTAAGGAGAAGTAGCGTATTTTATTAAACACCTAATATGGCTGGAAAAAGAAATAAACAAACAAACAAACAGGCACTCAAAGCTTTCATAGATCTAAACCAGAGAGGAGCAGTACATTTCTGTTTAAGCACAGAGTTGGGAACAATTTCTTCAAGTATAATTTTATTATGCCAAACTCAACTGTTTCCAACCTGTATTTAGTCTCCAGTTTACTGCTTCTATTTCAGACCTGAATAAAGACTTGTGTGCTTGCTGGTTTTTCCAGATACTTTGGCTGACTTAATAACTACACAGCTTTCCTTGTTTATATCTTACTTTGACTGTCACTATTACAAGAACACTACTACTTTGACATGATATGTAAGCTTTTGTGTGCAGAAGAGAAGACATATTATTAGCCAAAAAAATTGAAAAACATTATTAAATTTTCATTTCCATTCCCAACCCTGGGGCTGGCAAAGAAAATGATTGTGCTAGGTTCTTTTGATTTGCCTTCAAGATTTTTGACCTTCAAAGTACATTTCAGAATTTTGTCTTCAAATACAAAATCTTTCTTTTCTTCTTCATCCAGAAAACTTAAGGAAACAAGGCTGTGCAATTGTTATGCCCACCTGTCCTTTAATTTTGTGCAATGCTTTTTGAACACTTTTGAGGTTGGGATAGAAGTCACGCAAACTTGAATTTCAACAAGGTTTCAGGAGAACTGGTGTCTGGGATAAGTTGCTGCTGGGAGAAATGCTGAAGCAGAAGCTCAGCAGTTGCCTATTCCAATTGCCTATCAGCAGGGGCAGACCAGCCAGCCAAGTGCAGACACTGAGCATGTATTGCCTCAGGGGACCCTCAGACATGTGGGAGAGATTTGAGGGAGATAAGAGGGGAACTCCAGCTATTGCCACAGAGAATCTTAGAAAATAATATGGATTCAGGAGATTATTAGTAATGAGCATGGGACTTCTATGCAGGACACAGGACAAAAATCCACAGAAAAGCAGACCTCATTAATTTGCTGTTCATGAGATGATTCAGTAATTGTTCCATAATGAAAACTCAGTAATCAGATCCAATCATTTTAGTTAATGTTTATACTGCTGCTGAAATCTGTGGGTCCCAAGTGATAAGATGTTTTCAGCCTTGCCTAAGACCACGCTTGTCATCGTCTATGGACAAGGAGTTTGGTTTTAAGAATGCCTTAGGGCATAGCATTAAATCTTAAAAATTAACATTAGGAGTCATCTATTCCAGACCCATAGCTGACCTTAAATGTGTTTGTTTCCCAGTACATATATACTCTGTCAACATACTCATTGTTTTTTTTCATTCATATTACTATAGCAAATACTTCCAGAATTATTTGTGTTAAAATTTTGTACTTAAACTCAAGGAAATACATGAGGTGATCCAAGTCATC